CCTCTGGTAGTACTACTTCACCCTCTGGTAGTACTACTTCACCCTCTGGTAGTACTACTTCACCCTCTGGTAGTACTACTTCACCCTCTGGTAGTACTACTTCACCCTCTGGTAGTACTACTTCACCCTCTGGTAGTACTACTTCACCCTCTGGTAGTACTACTTCACCCTCTGGTAGTACTACTTCACCCTCTGGTAGTACTACTTCACCCTCTGGTAGTACTACTTCACCCTCTGGTAGTACTACTTCACCCTCTGGTAGTACTACTTCACCCTCTGGTAGTACTACTTCACCCTCTGGTAGTACTACTTCACCCTCTGGTAGTACTACTTCACCCTCTGGTAGTACTACTTCACCCTCTGGTAGTACTACTTCACCCTCTGGTAGTACTACTTCACCCTCTGGTAGTACTACTTCACCCTCTGGTAGTACTACTTCACCCTCTGGTAGTACTACTACACCACTGTACTACTCCACCCGGCCCGTCTTTGTCATGAGAACCGCTGTAGTTCTCATGATGTGCCTGAAGAAGATGCTGGACGGTTCCTCAGAGACTTCAGCACACATGTGTGGGAAGTGTGATTATGGGATGGACGCCGGTCAGACGACAGAACACCAGTCTGATCCACGAAAAAAAAAAAAAAAAGAAAACTTCCTCTGAGTCAACGTTCAATCAAAGAACTCTTTCTCAGGCTCCACAATCAGTGACTGGAGGAACTGCTGCTCCTCGGCCTCCACACGTAACGTTAATTCATTAAAAATCACATCTGAAAAAGACTACATTCTTCAAGTCTTTTTTTTTAACCTTGGCTAAAGGTTGAGCCAAGAACAGAGTCTGACCAACAGATGGAGCAGGAGGAGCAGAAAGACCAATAACCAAAAACGCAACAAAAGTTGTTCAAAAATGAATAAAACTGTAGAAAATAAAACCAAATGTCATCATCAGAACTAAATAACCTCCGTTAAAATCATATCGACATAAAAACACACCCACCATGACATCGATGGTCCATAGAATGAGTAAATGGCTCCACCCAGTGGCCAAATCAGGTAGAAGAAGTAAAATAGTAAAAGGTCCATCCACGTAACAATTTCTTTTTCTTTACTAAAAAATGTCGTCATTTTTCCACCAGAACTTTATAAGATGACAGAAACTTCTCAGCTCTAATTAGAATCTCCACCGTTGGTCACATGTTTCTAGAAATTGTTTTTTTTCCCTAATTACCTCCGTAATAAACTCTTCGTGGTTTAAATAAGATAGTCGAATAATTGACGACATCTTTGTCTCCGCCCTCCTTCCGCCTTCGTGATACGTAGGCGGAAGTGTTAACACTTTCAAAATAAAAGACTTTATCGGTTACATTTTAATTCCGGATTTAGCCCATTTACGGTTTGTAAACATTCACAGCAGCTGTGGTGTCGACTGGACTCGACAGTAACACACCGAGTCCAGCAGAACCGAGAGAAAACCGGGTAAAAATGAGGTCCATGACGTGTCGGACACCTGTTTACACAAAAACTCAATTGAAATCACGACAGTGAAGCAGACATACGGCTCATGGACCTCGGGTTTTTTTTAAACTTTATTTTAAAAAATCAGGCGTATATGACATTACAAAAACTTTATTTAAAGTTTAATTAAAGAAACAGTTTGTCTACAACAAACTTCTTTGACAGTGTAAAAAAATCAGGCGTATATGACATTACAAACAGATAAAAACGATACAGATGAAAGAGAAGATACAGAATAAACTGAGCAGAAAATAAATAATACATTTGTAGTATTTAGTTGGAATACTTCATAGTGGCTTCACGATCTCTTTTTTGTGTCTGTAATTCGGAGGTGACTGGAGAAACTCTTCTGACTCCCTGTGTTCTCACTTATTACCACTTGAGGGCGCCAAAACCTGACCTCGTGTGAAACAGTGGTGCGGCCACAGACTGGTCTCAGATCAGTTAGAGCAGGTGCTCCTGTTGCAGTGACCATGATAGATATAAATTTACTCATATAAACTGAAAATACTTCATAAATACATTTCATGTTGTGGTACTGATTAAATGCATGTAACTTTATAAGATTCAGTTCTTACAGTATGTGGTAGAATTATTAGATATATTTATTTATAAATATATAAATACAAACATACACACGTATACATATATACTGTATATGTATGTGTGTATTTTATTACACACACACACACACACATGTATACATACATATATATATATTGCTCATGGTCTACTAGACGACAGACAACCACAACACATGGCACGTTATATGAACGGTCAAATCAAAGTTTTATGTTTTAAGATTTAAATTTTTAGTTTAACATTTTTTAGCTCTTTCTTTTTTCATTTTTTTCTGCACTTCTTTCTTCCATCTGTTTCAGCTAACCTTCTGTGGTTCATGTTTACGTTACAGACTATTTTCACGTTTATTATAGCAGTCGTCTGACTAAATGTTAGCTTGGCTACCTTTTAGCTATTTTTAACAGA